TGTACACACACATACATATGTGTGTGTACATATAATAGCAGTTTACTACGAATGTTAAATAGTTATAATTATTATTATAATAGGATCCTACAAAATTAACGTTTCTATAGCATAGTTAATAACACATATTGGAAAAAATTCAATACTATTCCTTATTTGGCTAGTCCTAAAATAAGCAGCAAAACAAAGCATCTTCCTCTCACAATTAGTTAAAACAAATACAAATGATCCTCATAGCTTTAATGAACTGATATCAAGAACATTACAACACTTCTCAATTAAAGCATCACATCCTATAAAGACATATATGTACGCACACATACATATGTGTGTGTACATGTAATAGCAGTTTACCATGAATGTTAAATAGTAATAATTATTATTGTAATAAGAGCCTACAAAATTGGCCTTTCTATTGCACAATTAATAACACAAATTGGCAAAAATTCAATATTATTCCTTGTTTGGCTACACCTAAAATAGGCAGCAAAACAAAACATCTTCCTCTCACAATTAGTTATAACAAATACAAACGATCCTCATATCTTTAATGAACTGATATCAAAAACGTTACAACATTTCTTAATTAAAGCATCACATCCTATAAAGACATATATGTACACACAGATTTGTGTGTGTACATATAGCGGCAGTTTACCATGAATGTTAAATAGTAATAATTGTTATTATAATAAGAGCCTACAAAATTGGCGTTTCTATAGCACAATTAATAACACAAATTAGAAAAAATCAATACTATTCCTTGTTTGGCTACTCCTAAAATAGGCAGCAAAACAAAGCATTTTCCTCTCACAATTAGTCAAAACAAATATAAACGATCCTCATATCTTCAATGAACTGATATCAGGAACGTTATAACAGTTCTCAATTAAAACATCACATCCTAGAAAGACAAATATGTACACACACACATACATATGTGTGTGTACATATAATAGTAGTTTACCGTGAATGTTAAATAGTGATGATTATTATTATAATAAGAGCATACAAAATTGGCGTTTCTATAGCGCAATTTATAAGACAAATTGGAAAAAATTCAATACTATTCGTTGTTTGGCTACTCCTAAAATAGACAGCAAAACAAAGCATCTTCCTCTCACAATTAGTTAAAACAAATACAAACGATCCTCATGTCTTCAATGAACTGATATCAAAAACGTTACAACACTTCTCAATTAATGCATCACATCCTATAAAGACATATATGTACACACACATACATATGTGTATGTACATGTAATAGCAGTTTACCATGAATGTTAAATAGTAATAATTATTATTATAATAAGAGCCTACAAAATTGGTGTTTTATTGCACAATTTATAACACAAATTGGCAAAAATTCAATACTATTCCTTGTTTGGCTACACCTAAAATAGGCAGCAAAACCAAACATTTTCATCTCACAATTAGTTAAAACAAATACAAACGATCCTCATATCCTTAATGAAAAATCTAGAAATCCGCTAGATGTTAATTTGTGATTATGTATCAATTTTAAGCAGTATATAACAATCCCAATCAAACAATCAAGACAAATCAACACAACGATATTACGTGAAAAAAAACCACAATTGGACACCTCCAATTGTGATAAAAAATCACGGGCAACAGCCACAAAACAATCCCCTAAGAAGATATAAAGGAATTACACAGGTATACTCTTAATTACCTTGCGAATCCACGCCCGAATTGAACCAACCTCTATGTGTCTCTTCCAACCCCGTCTTCACCTCGGAATTGTCTTGACGATGAGCCACTCCGGAATCCGCCAAAGCTTCAGGCTCGAATTCTTCAGAATCCACCGAAGAACAACTATCTCTTTTGTGTAGAACAAACAAATAATCCTTTGATGTATATTCTTTAAACCATGAGTTGAATACTCAATCAAAACATCAAAGTAAACTGGCAAAATATCCCCAGATATAAACCTTAGAACCCAAAAAGAAGATCTGGAGAACTTATCCAAGTTTTGGGAGAAAACCAACTACTTATAGAAAACCAAAGTAATCCTAGTTTTGGAAGAAAACCAATTCTTTATAGAAATCCGAATTTTGAAGCTCGCTCGGTCCGCTCGAGCGTGGGACTTCCCGCTCGAGCAGAGGATTCAAAATTGTGTGATTCATGTAGGCTTCACGCTCGAGCGGAAGTTGCCACGCTCGAGCGCCGAATCACACCATCCAGTACTTTTTCCAGGCGAAGCAGAGATGCTGTGAGCTTGCAATCCCCACTCGAGCGGGGAGACCAAAATTGGAAGATCTGGAAAACTAGATCCTGTTACAACCTCGGTTTTGATCCATGAAAATTGACAAAGGCACGATTCGGGTTGGATTCGCATCTAATAAACTCATAGCCTCACTGAAATAAAAGGTGCGAAAACAAATACAACTAAAAGGAGTTTTGTCAAATGGGGTTGCCAAGAATAAAACCTAACAATCTCCCCCTTTGGCAATGCCATGACAAAACACACCTAAGAAATAAAATCGTAAACACCCCAACCCATTACAGCCAACAAAAGCCAATTTCTTTCTCAAGGTCATGATCTGCAAAACAGTTATTAGTGTCACAATCTCCAAAACAACTATTAGTCCCACAAGAGTATATGAAAAAGCAATAGACATATGACACGATTATCTTGAAAAATGGGATGGAAAACATGAATAGATGAAAACTAAGACTCATGAAAAACAACTCTCAAACAACAAAAGCAAGATCATAAACCAACCCAAGCAATGATATGCCGATGTAAATACTAGGAACATGCAAGAAGGAAATAAATAGCAAACAGTGCATAGTAACATGCAAAACAACTATAGCCAATCTCCCTTACCAAACAAATCAAAGTGTTCATGCTAACAAACTCTTGCAATGATAAACCAAACTCTCTTACCAACCCAAATCAAGATGAACCAAACTCCCCCTCACTAAAAACAACCACAAACACTGAAAACAGTGAACAAGAAGAAAAAAAACAAAAAATAATATGGTGGGGCAAGCAAGAAATCTCAGATTTGTACCTTAGAACACACAAGATTATCCAAGAAGCACAATTACAAGAAAACACAATGTGCACAGCCTCTAGAAGATTCCTCATAAAAGAAAGTGATGCATTATGTGAAAAGCATAGATCCCATGATAAAAGTGTGTGTGTGACTCTTGGAGTTCGACAAACACTAGATTCAATCCTAGTAGTGATCTGAAAGTTGAACCTCTGGCAAGAGAATCTAAGCACAACTACGGAAAGTCAAACCACTAGGAATCAAGGGGTATTTGGTGAGTAAAGGCGGAGGCTCCCCCTCAATCAATGAATCTTTTCTTTTTCTTTTTTCTTTCTTTTGCACATTTTTTTCTTTCTTTTGCATATTTTGTCTTCTTCTCTTTCTTTTTCTTTTTCTTTTTCTCTTTCTTTTTCTTTTTCTTTTTCTCTTTCTTTTTCTTTTTCTTTTTCTCTTTCTTTTTCTTTTTCTTTTTCTCTTTCTTTTTCTTTTTCTTTTTCTCTTTCTTTTTCTTTTTCTTTTTCTCTTTCTTTTTCTTTTTCTTTTTCTCTTTCTTTTTCTTTTTCTTTTTCTCTTTCTTTTTCTTTTTCTTTTTCTTTTGCACAATCATTGGTGGCTGACACGCTCAAGAGTATGGAAACCGAACTAGAGAAGCATGGATATAATAAGGATGGCCTGGTTGGTGACTCTGAGGTAGCCTTTTCCTCATGGCTAGACTGCAAAGAATTAAGGGGAAAGCCATGAAGATGCAAAAAGATGGTAGGTGGTTAAGAGACTCAACATCACCCAAGATATGCTAGTATAGGTCAATTCCTCTAGAAAAGCAAAAGATACAATGCCAGAAGTCCAAAAAAAAATAATCACTAAGGCGGAAGACTCCAAAATTTGCTAATCCAAGAGTGTGTACAGAATGAGACATACCAGACCATCGGCGGCGACAGAGAGCACAAATTCCTTTGATATCAGGGAGAGGAACGTCGGGTTGAAGCCTCGGATGGCGATGTCGTCGACGGAGTATTTGTCGATGTCGTCGAAGATGAGGTAGGGCAGTGGCAGAGATCGGCGAGATCATAATCGCCAACCGGACCTCGCCAAGCAGGGCGTTGAAATCTGTGATGACGGCGGCGCTGCAGACCAACGGCGATTCGAGAGTGGCCGGAAAATATGGCCGGAGATCTTGGGAGAGCTCGTCGTCGAGACCGTCGGCGGATGACTCCGGCGAGTCCAGTGGATGCAAAGAGAGTTTGGTTCCAGTGAAAGAGATACGGAAGTTGTACGGTCTATTGAAGTTGAAAAGCAGTAACAAAATTGGACCGTCAGATCATGAATCACAGCTGATCTGAAGGTGATGATTGTATAGCAACATGGCGAGCCTTGTTAGTGAAAAAATTCAAGGTATGTGTAGAGGTCCGGAGGGCGGCCAAGGCGAGGCTGCCGCCCGCCGGTGAAGCAGAATGACTAGTTTCTTAACCTTGCTCTGATACCATGTAGAAATTTAATGTATAAAGAGAAATGATTGTATTATTGATTGATGTATATTTGTGTAGATATTACAATTACAAGGATTCCTATTATATAGGAGTGTGTTTGGGAGTAGGTGGAGAGTAGGTGAAGTGGAGGTGGTAGTGGTGTAGTGGGTTAGGTTTAGTGGAGTAGGTGAGGTGGTAGTGGTGGTAGGTTTATGGTAAATTCTAACAGCCCCCCGCAAACTCAAGGAGGATAGAAACTAACCAACTTGAGTTTGAAGAGAGGAACAAAACAAGAAAATACATAAAAATAAGTAGGAGTTGGTCGCTCGAGCGAGGAGGTGGTGTCCAGTATGGACCTGTAGCTTGCATTCTTGTTCGAGCGAGCTTTTCTTCGCTTCGAGCGACGTTAGTTGCCATTCTTTTCGCCTCTGAGCGTGAAGTCTGTTACAGACCTGAGGGTTGAATTCTTCGCTCCGATCGAGTATTTCTTATCGCTCGAGCGAGTTTTGGGTTGTTGGCTTCGAGCGAGGCTTCCTATGGCTCAGCGTTGCTTGTTCTGTGTCTGTCGTCGAGCGACCATGTCTTCGCTCGAGCGAGCCTGTCCAGATTTATATTACAGCACAGCCGGGATTTTTGATCAGTCTTTTTCATCTCCTTTTGATTCCAAACCCCTAGGTCCGACTTTTCTCTCTCCCTACTCACCTTCCTTCTTAGATTTTGATCCACTTAGGGTGTGTTTCTACCCCAATCTTCATTAAAAAGATTAGAGGGAAGTTCGACGGGCTTTCAAATCTGAACATTTGGCGATTTTGGAGCACTTTTGGCATTTGGGCACTTCATCTTGTCTCACCATTGTGTTGTTTTTCTTCGAGGTAAGGGATTTGCCTACTCCATTTTATAGGTTTTGTTCTAAGTTTGGTATTGTTAGATATGTTGGGATACTTAGCGGTAAATTTGGGAAAACCCACAGTTGTATTATTGATTAATTTGTATAAGTGAATTCATGGAATGTGGGAAAAGATGTTAAATCATGGAATTGGGGAATTCATTGATCTTAAAATGGCGTAATTGGATAATTTTGAATCATTTGTCTATTGAATTGTTTGACATAGTTATTTTCAGTTTAGAAATAACTGTTTTGGAGCATCGCGCCTGGAGGATAGTAGTGATTGTTGTAGACATTGCATGTGGATTTAGGAAATAACTGAAACTAATCACATTGGTTAAGTCATTTAATTTGTTGACTATTGCATTGATACAGAAAATACGTGTATTGATTGAGCATTGCATTTGCAGTACAATTGTGTTTTTGTTGGGGAGAGAATAGGGCGATGTACTCCACGGTTAGGGAAGAATAGGGAATGGACCTTCTAAACCGGATTTTGTTTGGAGGAGATAGGGGGATGGACTCCAATTAGCATCACTTTTATGTGTGCTATTTATATAGAAGTGAGTTTAGATACAACACCAAAATGGTGTATCAATCGGAAGTATGAAGTGTTTGATTTGAGCTTGAGTCTCATTTGTTTGTTGATATGAGAAGATGCGAAATATGATAGTATGTAATACATGAAGTTTGAGCCAGGTCTGAGCCATGTTGATAAATGGAAAGTAAAACGTTCTAGACAATAATGTCATGAGGACTGTAAAAATGAAGTAATTGATTATCTTGGTTAAACCATTCTGTTGAAATGCATATTGCTTTAATTCCATTGCTAATTATTATGTGTTATTAATCTTTCCTACTGGGCTGTGCGCTCACGCCTTTATGGCGAACATCATTTTCAGGTTCAGTGATAAACTCCCTCCAAGGACTTAGCTTGGGAGGGTTATGGCTCTGGATTGAAGAAGCACTACCTGTTAGTTAAATTGTCTTTTAATTTGATTAGCTAACATGTAAATCATTTTCAAGCCTAGGGCTTTTTCTGTATTCGGAGTAGAAATCATATTTTTGTATCCAAGTGTTTGGCTTGGACAAGATGTAAGCCCTGTAGGGCATTTTTATTCGATGTTACATGTAATGCTATTATTTAGTAATACTCTGATGAGATGAATTAATAAATTGTCTTCTTTAAATTAATTGCATGTCAATGAATATATAATCTGTTAATTTGAGGGCGTTAACATGGGTGATGTTGAGTCTCTTAACCACTTTTCCATCTTTTTGCCTCTCCACGGCTTTCCCCTGCTATTCCTTTGATAGTTCAACCATGAGGAAAAGGCTACCTCTAGATTCACAACCAGAGGCATCCTTATTATATTCCATGCTTCTCTGGTTCCGGTTTCCATACTCTTGAGCGTGTCAGCCGCCCAATGAGTGTGCAAAAAGAAAAAGAAAAAAAGAAAAAAAAAAAAAATGTGCAAAGAAAGAAAAAAAGGATGTGCAACAGAAAGAAAAGAAAAGATGTTGAAAAAAAAGGAAAAAATAAAGGATTCATGATAGGGGGAGCACCTCTTTACTCACCAAAACCCTTGATTCCTAGTGGTTTGACTTTCCTTTGTCGTCTTAGATTCTCTTTGTCGGAGTCCAAACTTTCAGACACTACTTAGGATTGAATACTCAGTGTTGTCAACTCCAAGAGAGTCAACACACACTTTTATCATGGGATCTATGGCTTTTCACATAAATGCATCACTTCTTTTTCATGAGGATCTATCTAGAGGCTTGTGCACATTGTGTTTTCTTGTAATTGTGCTTCTTGGATAATCTTGTGCTGTTCTAAGAGTACACAAATCTGAGATTTTTTGCTGCCCACCATAATTATTCTTTTTTTTGTTTTTTTTGCTTCTGTTTCCGTGTTTGTCAGTGTTTGTGGTTGTTTTTAGTGAGGGGGAGTTTGGTTCATCTTGATTTTGGGTTGGAAGAGAGTTTGGTTTATCATTGCAAGAGTTTGTTCAGCCATGAACATTCTTTTGATTTGTTATGGTAGGGGAGATTGCTATATTGTTTGCATGCTACTATGCACTGTTTGCCTATTTTTTCCTTCTTGCATGTTTCCTAGTATTTACATCGGCATATCATTGCTTGGGTGTTTTTATGATTCTTGCTCTTTTGTTGTTTGAGAGTTGTTTTGTCACATGGAGTCCCTTCAGTTTTCATATCGATTCATGTTTTCCATCCCATTTTCAAGATAATCTTGGTCATAATGTCTATTGCTAATTTTCATCATACTCTTGTGGATAATAGTTGTTTTGGAGATTGTGACACTAATAACGTTTTGCCAGATCATACCTTGAAAAAGAAATTGGCCTTTTGTTGGCTGTAATGGTTGGGTTGTGTTTACGATTTTAATTTCTTAGGTGTGTTTTGTCATGGCATGCCAAAGGGGAGATTGTTAGGTTTTTCTATGGCAACCCATTTGACAAAACTCCTTTTAGTTGTATTTGTTTTCGCATCCTTTTATTTCAAGTGAGGCTAATGAGTTTATTAGAATGCGAATCCAAGCTCGAATCGTGCCTTGGGTTCATTTCATGGACAAACCGAGGTTGTAACAGGATCTAGTTTTCCCCGATCTTCCATTTGGGTCTCCCCGCTCGAGTGGGGATTGCAAGCTCACAGCATCTCTGCTTCGCCTGAAAAAGTACGGATGGTGTGATTCGGGCGCTCAGAGCGTGGCAACTTCCGCTCGAGCCGTGAAGCCTACATGAATCACACAATTTGAAATCTCCTCTGCTCGAGCGCGGGAAGTCCCACGCTCGAGCGGACCGCGAGCTTCAAAATCGGAATTTCTATAAAGAATTGTTTTCTTCCAAAACAGGATACTCTGGTTTCTATAAGTAGTTGGGTTTTCTCCCAAAACTTGGATAAGTTTCTCCAGAATCTTCTTTTTGGGCTTCTAAGGTTTATATCTGGGGATATTTTCGCCAGTTACTATTGATGTTTTGATATGAGTTTCAACTCATTGGTTTAAAGATATCATCAAAGGCATTATTTGTTTGTTACAACCACAAAGAGATAGTTGTTCTTCGGTGGATTCTGAAGAATTCGAGCCTGAAGCTTTGGGGGATTCCGGAGTGGCTCATCGTTCAAGACAATTCCGAGGTGAAGACGGGGTTGGAAGAGACACACATAGCTAGGTTGTTCATTCGGGCGTGGATTCGCAAGGTAATTAAGAGTTATACCGCTGTTAATTCCTTTATATCTTCTTAGGGGAATTGTTTTGTGGCTGTTGCCCGTGATTCTTTTATCACAATTGGGGGGAAGGTGTCCAATTGTGTTTTTTTTCACGTAATAGCGTTTGCTGTTGATTTGTTCTTGATTGTTTGATTGGGATGTATATAACTGCTTAAAATTGATAACATAATCACAAATTAACAATCTAGCGGATTTTTTCTAGATTTTCATTAAGGATATTGAGGCATCGTTTGTATTTGTTTTAACTAATGTTGAGATGAAAGATTTTGGTTTTGGCTGCCTATTTAGGTGAAGCCAAACAAAGGCAATAGTCTTTGCATTATTTTGCCAATGTGTGATAAATTGCTGCAATAAAACACACAATTTTGTAGGCTCTATTATAATTAATAATTATTACTATTAACATCAATGGTAAAGCTGCTATCTACATGTACAGTACACATATGTATGTGTGTGTACTATTGTCTTTTAGGATGCTGATGCATTAATTTGAGAAGTGTCTGTAACGTTTTTGATATCAGTTCATTCGAGACATGAGGATCGTTGTTATTTGTTTTAACTAATTGTGGAAAGGAAGAAGATGCTTTGTTTTGCTGTCTATTTTAGGAGTAGCCAAACAACGATATAGTATTGATTTTTCCAATTTGTCTTATAAATTGCGCTTATAGAAACGCCAATTTTGTTGATGCCTCTTATTATAATAATAATCATCACTATTAACATTCACGGTAAACTACGTATATAGCACACCACCATCATATGTATGTGTGTGTGTAAATATTTGTCTTTCTACGATGTGAATGTTTTAATGTAGAACTGTTTATAAGTCTCCTTGATACAGTTCATTGAAGATATGAGATCGTTTATATTTGTTTTTGACTAACTTGTGAGAGGAAAATGCTTGTTTTGCTGCTATATTTAGGAGTAGCCAAACAGGAATAGTATTGAATTTTTTTTCTATTATGTGTGTATTAATTGTGCTATAGATAACGCAATTTGTTAGGCTCTTATGTATAAAACAATTGTTACTATTTAACATTCATGGTAACTGTCCGCTATATGTACCACACAAATCTGTGCTGTACAATAGTCTTTATAGGATTGTATGCTTTAATTAAGAAATGCTTGTAACGTTCTTTGATATCAGTTTCATTAAAGATATGAGGATCGTTGTATTTTTGGTTATAACTAATTGTGAGAGGAAGAATTTTTGTTTGTGCCTTATTTCTAGGTGTAGCCAAACAAGGAATAATATTTGAATTTTTTGCCAATTTTGTGTTATTAATTGTGCAATAGAAAGGCCAATTTTTGTACCGGTCTTAATTAACAATAATATATTACTATTTAAACATTCAATCGTAAACTTGCTATTACATGGACACACACATATGTATGTGTTGCGACATATAGTGTCTTTATAGGATGTGATGCTTATTGAGAAGTGTTGTAATGTTTTTTGATATCAGTGTTCATAAAGCTATGGGATCAATTTGTATTTGTTTTAACTATGTGAGAGGAAGATGCTTTTGTTTTGCTGCTTATTTAGGACTAGCCAAATAACGGATATAGTATTGAATTTTTCCAATATGTGTTGTTAACTATGCTATAGAAACGTTAATTTTTGTAGGAATCCTATAGTATAATAATTATTATAACTATTTAACATTCGTAGTAAAACTGCTATTATATGTACACACACCATATGTATGTTGTGTGCTACATATACTCTTTATAGGATGTGAGTTTAATTGACAAGTGGTTCTGCTAACGTTCTTTGATATCAGTTCATTAAAGATATGAGGATATTTAATTTGTTTTAATCTCTCT